AGGTGAATCACTGGACTACGACCAGGATGTCAGTGAGGACGACGATGCGAGTGTCGGAGGCGAAGAGCCTTAGATACCGCACTGTGGAAAAAAAATCGGACGTCTAATTGGACGTTCAACGCTCGTACGGCGGTATTTATACGAATTTCACAATCTGGGACGTTGTTGGTAGTGAGTCATTTAGCCCAGGGACTCGATGTTGTTTTCTCTGCTGCTCACTCGTACTCGGACAAGTACGATATTTGAAGGCATAGTAGAGATATGTATCAATTCCGTAAATTCAACACAAATAAATTGGTTCCATGCCACCTATAGCTTAGCCTCGACCTTGATCTTCGCTGCATTCAAATGAATGATCCTCGCTGCGTCGTTGACCATATTCTCAACGATAGTCTTAGCAGGAAGAACCTCATGAATCAGCGCAGAGATCCGGCCGATGAGAAACATGCGGCCCTCCACAGACTTCTCAGGGTGTTTCTCGAGCTCATGATCGTGCGGTAGGATACCCTTGCTCGTGAGCTCCTTGATCTCCTGCTGCCGATTGTTGTTCCAGTCGTCGACGTATGGCGTGCGCCGCACGCGCAGTGGCCGGCCGGTATAGATCAGCGTAGTCACCGCGTCCTCGTAGCCCGCGCTGAGGATGGCCTCCTTGTGCACCTTGGGCGCGCTCGCCTCCACGCTCGCGACGAAGCGCGTGCCGACCCACACGGCTTCGGCACCCCACGAAAGGTTTGCCGCCAGGCTCCGCCCGTCGTACACGGCCCCCGCACCGATGACATACACCGGTCCGCCAGTCAGTGGAGACTTGTGTCCGCGGACGGCGTCGACACAGGCGGGAATGAGGATCGTCGCGGGAATGTCGCCGGTATGACCACCACCCTCACTAGCTTGCGCGCAGATGAGATCGACCCTGGCGTCGAGTGCTTTAGGCACATGTTTCGGGTGGCCAACCATCTAAACACAATGCAGCTTCGTTGGTAAACTAAAGCGTGTAATGACAGCATTCACTTACGTTCATGACGAGAATGCCTGCCTTGTGAAGCTTGTCAACAGCCCACCGCGGGGGAACGCCAATGGCGGAGACGAAGAGCTTCGCCCTCTCTTCGATAATAACGTCGATGAGCTCAGGGAGCTGGCCGTTGGTGTAATCGTACTACAGAGCGGCAGAATTAAAGCTCACCGCGGAACGAAGCCAGGAGAAGAGCTCACGTTAGTCTTGCGAGCGTTACCACCAATCTGCGGGGTGAGAATGTCAACGCCGAAGGGTGCGTTCTTGTCGTGCAAGTCATTTTTAATGGCGCGAATCTGCGAATTGTAAAGTGAGCAGGGACGCAAACGAACGAGTTGCGCGGCAACATGCCTGGGACCGGAGGACCTTCGGCGTGTAGCTCGTCCCTCCGATAACGCCCAAACCTCCTGCGTTCGTGACTGCGGCTGCGATCTCAGGGCCAGCAGCGATGTTCATACCTGCAAGCATGAACCTGGTTGATACACGTATTCTTACGGCGTTCACGTTACTTACCCGCCAACAGGATCGGATGCTTGATGCCGAAGAGTTCAGTGATGGGTGTGGTAATGGTAGACATGATAGGTCGGGGGATGCAGGAAGTGGAGGAGGGGGGAGGGGGGAGGGGGGAAGTGGTGGCGGTCGAGGGGAGGGAGAGTTATCAAGGATACCGGAAAGACGTTCACAATGGCCATGGGCGCGCCGTGCGGTGCATTTACAATGTGATTGCAGGTGGACAGCACAGACGGAAACGGGAGTGCTAACGATGGCGCGTGACGCCAGCATACCCGACGTCAACGTAGGTCACGCTAAACTCGAAGGACTAAGCAAACTCTTGTGCGGCAACGCAGAAGCGCGTCGACTTACCTCTATGAGCAAAACATCAGGATATTGACTTGGACGCGTCTTGTGCTTTGGACGTCGACGTTGGCTTAGGACGTTCTGGACAAGGGCACCATGGTCTCAGGGCGCCTGCCTTGCCGGTGTTGGTGACGCTAGCTGCACTCTCGCTGGACTTTCGAGACGTCACTCCCAACATTGTCATGCGGCGTTGGGGTGTATATCTGTGGATATAAATCAGCTAGACTTCTTACGGGTTCCCCAGAAGCCTAGATGCGGTCCATCAATTTTGTGCGTAGTAACGGCCGTGCTGTATTCTCGGCTCAATGCGATACCGAGGACTTGAAGGAGCTACTAAAGGGCAGAAAGTGTCGGCAAATATCCAAGTGCTGCAATATTCCCTTGGCCTAGCCCTGGTCCAGCGGCTATTATCGACGCTTGAGGACGGAAATTCCCGGTGGGAGCGCATCCTCCGCGAGTTTTCTCAACTTTCTCTTTCGCGCCCACCTGCGCACCTCCATTGTCCCCGCTATCTGCTCAATATGCCAACGGAGCCTCTCTTTACACCACCCCTCTTGATATCACCTCACAGCTTATCTCTAGTTCGCAGTACGGCTGGTCGCTTTCTCGAGTTTGTTAGTGCGTCTAAGTCGCCGATACCAATCCGTGCTTTCCATGATACGCTGCCTCCCACCTGGTGTAAAAACGTTGCTTTCCAAACACGGCTATGTGTGTTTACCATGGATTCTGGCCGGGACAGCTTTCGAATCTTGCCTTAGGATAAGGGAATCGCTCACCAACCTGTCCAGCACTGGCGCGCCTTCAAGGAGATTCGTAGATGGATCCGGCAGCTCAAAGGACAGGGGGTATAGGATGCTTAGGTGCGTCACATGCTATGGCATTGGTTGCAAGCTGTGAACTGACAGCGTGAGGTTGCGCAGGTAGTCGAGCCAGTGTGGCTAATATGCCGGTGGCACCAGGAACACTTGAGTCTACTGCATGGGCAGCGAGGAAGCAGCGATGTGCGACTGGGACAACAAAGAGGAGAACCTCAGCAAGATCCTCCTGTTGGACACGGATGAAGACATGACCACTGCGCTACTGGACGGGTGGACGCGGGACCGCGCGCGTGCAGCTCGGCACATTCAAAGGTGCATATCCCCGTGTTCGTGCGTAGTGAATCTGAGGCAACGGCTGCAACTCAGACCATAGCTCGGGCTATAGCTCATGTGGCCTCGAGAGGGGCGAGTTCGGGTGCTAGGACAGCAACGACCATGCGCTCGTCAGTTTCCTTAGCACTGAATACGACCGGGACAATATCACGGGCGATGTGTCTCGCTCCTCAAGGATTCATGTGTAGTAGTAAGTGTTGTCGCAAGTTGGGACCCTATCAAGCATGAGAAACAAAAGGGTAGACTTACCGCAGTGAAGATTTGTCACAGGTCCAGGGTGAAATGTGGAGGCTGTGCGGCAGGTGGACAAGCTCAGATGTGGTAGAGCACCGCCAGGGAGAGGTCCGTCGCCTCCGCGCTCGCTGAACAGATTGGGTACATCGAGATCCAGCGTAGTTTTGACCAGTCGAGATGGCCAAGCCGCGCGATAACTGCATCGCCAGTTGTAGAAGGTCAGTCTTGTGTGCATGCATGCAATACTGTGCTAAAAAAGCTGCGGCTCAGCTTTGTGGTGCAGTTGACAGCTGGCACACGAACGCGACGTAGGACAGCTGAATTGTTCACGCAAGCCGTGCGTTTAGATGTGTGAGACTAGGGGAATGAGTACGGTCCC